ATGAACGAAATGACTCAAAAAAACAAAGAGATTTGAATGAACGAGTCTGTCAAAAGACTCGAACTTGCCAATACTAATATGAACTATGAGCTCTACTAGTATTTATTGCTGCTCTTACTTGTATGTATTGTCAGTTGTAGATCTGTAGTTGATGCTCTGTTGACGCTTGTATGTTGTTCCTCAAATGTAAGTCGCTTCGGATAAAAGCGTCTGCCAGATGAGTAAATGTAAATGGTCCAACAAAACAGTATTTGGTTGTTTGTGACTAACATGCGTGACTCAGTCTACAGATTCACACACACCTTCACAGCAGCTCTGGAAGATCTTTATGATAACTGTTTCCCTGCTCAGGAGAACCTGCAGAAAAGAAAAGTATATATTACATAAAGTCAACTTGCTTTCAATTCAGAAAACGGACATTTTGGTGTGAACCTGCCCTTAAAGATAGCATCAATGCAAAACTACTAGTATAGCAATATTATAGTAATTGGTAAAAATATGGTAAGCAGCTGACAATAAAATGTTTATATAAGTGCAATATTTGGATTAAAAATGTAATACGGTGACATTAATGGGGTAAATATCTTTTAGATCTGTTTAAAGACTCTGTAAGACGAAATATTGACATTTAGGGAAATCAAAATGTCGAATCATCCATTTATTGGACGGTTATGTTTTACAACTCGCTATATTTATTTGTAACAATCAGAATGAGAACCAGAAGCTGTGCCCCTACACTCGAGACTGCCTGTGCAAATTTGCAGTCAGACTTTGCCTCATTACAATCTGCCCCGTTTCATTTGAAGCTACTTTTAAATGCACACAAGACAAAGGTGATGATATTTGCACCTACTAATACTAAAGTCCCAGCTCTCGCTATTAACACAACCAAGACGAAGCCATTGAACTTGTTGATACTTATAAATACTTGGGTATCCGGCTGGACAAAGCTTGACCCTCTTTATCATGCGGCTCTCAGGTTCATCACAAACGCTGGCTATCAGACACATCACTGCATCTTATACAGTAGGGTAAATTGGCTGTCACTCAAACTGCGCAGGATGCTACACTGGCACATTTTTATTTATAAAGCTATTTTAGGATTTTTGCCTTCTTATATCTGTTTAAAATTTGTTCATATGCAAAGCAAATATTTATGATCTAGTGACGAACTACTTTGTTTGAAAGAGGAGTCTGTCTTACTACGGCCCTTCGTCCAGGAATGAACTCCAGTCTGAGCTTAAGATTGGTGCGAAAAAAAAGAATATCTGATATTCTGATGGACATATGCAGTTGTTTTAATTAACGGAAGGTAGATCTCTACATTTAGTCCTTATTTTGTTTTTTTAATATATTTTAAACTCTTTGCATTTTTGTCCATGTAAATATTTTGTAAACTTTGTGTGTAAATCTGTCTTGTATTTTAATTTACGTAATGTATTGTTTTTCAGCTCATGGTTGAAAAATTGTATTTTATTTGTGCTTTGCAGGACTGTGTCTCAATGGGACATTTCCTGTTTAAACAAAAGTTTTTTTTATATAGATAGATAGATAGATGCCTCATAAATAAATAAAGGCTACAACATAAGTCCGGTAGCTCACCTGGTGGAGCGTGAGGGTTTGATTCCACCTCCAGCTTTGTGCTGAATGTCATCCTGTTTCTCTCCCCGTTTACCTGTCTCTCTTCAGCTGCTCCTGTCCAATAAAGGCAATAAAATTTTAAAAAACTAATACCGTATATCTGAGAGGACGAGACCATCTCGACACAAGATGGTTTCTGTCAAGCATCTGTGATGTTGATGTCTGCACATGATGAATATGTTGATACAATCCATTATATAAACTGACCTTTATTACAGCGTACTGTGATGAACTTTGTAGCTACAAGCAAAACTAGAACTGCAGCAACAGGTAGAGCTCCTAAAGAGAATCCACAAAGAAACCATCCTGTGACGTCCCCTCTGCTGCACGTGTCCTCAAACAGTTTCTCTGAAACACACAACAAAACCTAGAGTCACACTCAGAATGTAAACTGTATCTCATGTACAGCACGCTGGTTATTACCTACACAGAACTACTACTGAGGCGACCATGCTGCTAAAATCTATGAACATGTAAAACTACTTGCAGATAAAACCACTAAGATGAATCTCACCTGGCAAAGTGATGTTATTACTGATTATATGACCGATGTCGTCCTGCTGGACTACACAGTGGAACCGGTTGTTTTCGGTCTTCTTCACAGTAGTTTGGAGGGTGATGTAGAAGTGACCTTCTCTTTCTGAGACCTGTGGCTCCTCAGCAGGAAGTTTGTTTCCAGCACCGTCCTGCCACTCTACTGTAGGTTTAGGAAAAGCACCTCTAACTTCACACTGCAGCAGGACCCCAAACTCTGTGACATCAACTATCGTGATGGACGGCTCTGCAGCTGCACCTGTGAACACAGTAATAAGAAAACAATACAAACAGTTAGAGCACTACAAATGTAGTTTTTGTCCCCAAAATACCCAGTACACTGTATGTAAGAGTCAGAAAAACTTTTAGTAACGGTTCCTCTATTAATCCCATTTATCACTGTACAATGAATATCTTTTTGGACTTTGTTTTGGACTCTTCGTTGGACAAAAAAGCAATTTGAAGACATCACTTTGGGCATTTTCACTATTTCCTGACATTTAAAAACAAAAATTAAAAAGAAAAATGAAAAAAAAGAAAAAAAAATTATTGTTAGTTGCAGCCTTACTCAAAAATATAATTTTATAGATTAATATTTAGCTTTTGTCAAGCTAAATTCAAATAATTCAAAAGCATGTTCACCCCAAAGTGCGTATATTTTGTCAATGAGAAATATGTTCCACTGATTTCATATAACCACAGAAAAGAATCTTAATTATAATAAAATCATCTTTCAGTTATCAGTGTAACGTTAGGGAGTAAGATTACAGTCTAATGCAGTGGTAGAGTCTGACAGTTTCACCAACAGTTTAAAAGACTGATGTGCCGTTTACATCGTGACCCACAGAGTCCGACCTTAAAGACACATCAGGAGAAACTAGTGGAGAGTCTTGAGTTTAATGTTTCTGATCTCTACACCTGCAGGTTGACTGCTTTGGGGGGCAGATGGGCGGCTGTCTGTGTGTGTGAGTGTGAGAGTGTGTGCGCGAGCGAGCAGGTGACAGGTGAACTACTCGAGTTGAAGAAAACTTGCTGTAAAGGAACACTAAAGAATCTCACCACAGATAAACACGTAGGTCTCAGCATAAATCTGATGTTTGATCTCCTCCTGTGTGGCTACACAGCGATAGTTGTCGGTCTTCTTCACAGTAGTTTGGAGGATGATGTAGAAGCTGCCTCCTCTTTCTGAGACCTGTGGTTCTTTAGCAGGAAGGTTGTTTCCAGCACTGTCCTCTAGGTTTTGGAAAAGCACCTTGAACTTCACACTGCAGCAGGGCCACGTCCTGCGTTTGATAAAGTGTCCTGACAGACGGCTCTGGAGATGCTCCTGTGAACACAGTAAACAGACACATCAGCTATAAAAGGACAATAACAGGATTATAAATGTAACACTGTGATGTTTCTTGTTCGTCTCTTCTCCGCTTGTAAATGAGGATTAAAGTGAGAGTGAGAGTGAGATGTTGTGATCTGTAGCGTGCTGCAGTTACTGCAGTGCTAGAGTCTGACTGAACACAGTTTCACCAACAGTTTAAAAGGCTGATGTGCCGTTTACATCGTGACCCACAGAGTCCGACCTTAAAGACACATCAGGAGAAACTAGTGGAGAGTTTTGAGTTTAATGTCTCTGATCTGCATGTACACTTTAATGCAAACATTGTCCTGTATCATAATGATGAAGATCATCATGACGACATTTCAAAATACATTTAACACCACAACTCTGCAGTAGTGATGATGAAACCAAATATGAAAAGGTCTTGGACTACTCTGGATGGCTCTTTAACAACAGCCTGTGGGCAGCTCCCAAAGTACTCTGAACATCTAATGAACCAGGAGGACGCTGTGGAGGGTCAGGTTTAATAATTAAATAATCTTTATCTAGAGGTGAAGCTAATTAGCTACCTTCACTGTTGTGCACTGGTATTACATACTCATTTACTCAAGTACTGTCATTATATACAATTTTAAGATACTTGTGCTTTTACGCTTACATTTGTCTTAAAAACTGTATTTACTTTGCAAATTATAATTTTACATGATATACTATAATATAAATGAATACATTATAATACGGTGGAAGACTACTGTAGTAATAACATGTACTGTAATATAAACAAGTTGTATATTAATGTAATAAATGTAATGATGGTGCACTTCTACACCGCCATCATTGAGTCCATCCTCTCCTCCTCCATCACCATCTGGCACGTTGCTGCCTCTGCCAGGGACAAGAGCAGGCTGCAGCGCATCATTCACTCTGCAGAGAAGGTGATTGGCTGCAATCAGCTGACTCCTCCCACCCCAAAAACAGATTCTTCCCATCTGCAGCTATGTACACAGTATTATCTTCCGTTGTGTTACTTCTGCACAACACAAACCCAGAGTAATGCACATGTAAATATGTGCAACGTTGTTCTTTCTCTGCTAACAGTTGTATTATTTTTCTCTATTCTTTTATTATTATTATTATATAACTTGCATTGTCCATTCCATATTTATATAGTTCTACGTGTAGCACCTCATCACCAAAGCAAATTCCTCGTATGTGAAGGTTTGTGCTCATTATGTTTCTTACCGTTTGGAAGTCCGGGTGTTTTTCCAGACAAAGTCAGCAGACAGAAACAGAAGAACAGAAGCTCCTGGACTGTCGACATGTTGGAGAAGTAACTTAAATTAACGATAACGGTGCAGATAACTTCACTTGCTGTTAGCTGAGATATTTCAAAATAAATGTACGCCTGCCTTTGGTGCGAGAGACCCGGGTTCAATTCCCCACTGTGACCCGTCCGCCATCGTGTCCCTGAGCAAGTATACACTAATACTAAACATTACATCTAACGTTATTTCAATTAAAACAAAATGCACAGTATGCCGCGTGGTCCACGAACTTCCTCGTTTTGTAATGGCTGTTGAATGTAATATAATGCGCCTTCCGGCCACCAGCGCTTTGTTGCGCTTCAGCTCCGTCTCTCCTCGTCTTTTCGGTCGGTGACTGGAGAAGAACAGAGGCGAAGTCCAGCTGAACAACAACAACAACAACAACTCCGCACATTGTGTTTTATGCAACAAAGGTAAGGGACTTTTATACATTTTGACGAAGGACTAGATAAACAATGAGCAGATATCAGCGATGTCTGTGGGAATGTCGGAGCTTTTACTGTTGAATGACATCGATTTGTGCTTCTGTCTTTGCTGCACATCTGGCTAACATCAGGGGAGAGTTGCAAGAATATTGTGATTCACATATGATCTTTTAATCAACATTATGTGTTTTTTCAGTTCAAATTTGAAAACAACACAGGAGCATTTTAGGTTAGATTCTTTTTTTTATTAAAACTTGCATTGAATGAGGTTGTATATATCTGAGGTAACAGAGCTCTGCACATGGCTATACAGAAAATACAACTCAGTCATGGAACATGTGCTTGTAAACCAAAGTACTTTAAAGTACAAAGCAGAAATACATGTTTTTACAACACTCTAATTCTCTCTGTCTGTGTCACAGTGATGGATGGTGATGAGGAGCTGGAGAAAGCAATGCAGAGCACATCACCCACCAAGGAAAATTTACTTACTGAACACTCAAACACAATTTTGGTCAAACAGTGTTATTAAATGCCAATCTGTTATACCATTGAATCTTTTTGTGCATTGCCAGCTGCTGCTCCATCATCATCATCATCATCATCATCATCATCATCACTTGCTGATGTTCCTGGTAACCAGCAGGGTTCATGAACTGATTTGCTCAGTAGCGAGGGTAAGTACCCATTTTTGTCTTCATGCAAGAAAAATCTATCTATATTGCGTCACCTGCTTAGACTTATAAAGGCTAAAGAAGAGTATTTTAATTGAGCATCCAGACCAAAATGTGTGAATGAAGTGCATCACTATTATATTACCAATTATCTTTTATATTATAATGAAGTACTCATTCAATTTTTAAGACTTAGCAGGTGAAGAGCGACTGTTGTCTGTTTTAGTACCCTCTGCTTCACTGCACCGACTCCCTGCTGACACCCGAAGGAAACTGCTTGAGCCGCTAGTAGATGGTAAAACGGTGTAATTTGTTTCTCCATCTGCAAAACATTCATGCTAATCAATAAAGTGTATTGTCTTATGCTCTGTAGTAATTCTGTTATACTTCAGACATATACTGGTGAGTGCTTTTTCTTATCTTGTTGTCATTCTGTCTTCGTAGGCCCGCCATGCCTACAGTAAAGAGAGAGGAGCCCCTTCCTCCTGAGCTGCAGTTTCTGGTGAAAGAGCTCCTAGTCACCAGCAAACTGAGAAGACGGTCTCAGCACCAGGTGTGTATCACGGGAAGATTTTATATTCAGTTGTATTTTCTTCTAAACAATGTCTACACTGTGGCCTGCAAGAGTCTTATACATATCTATAAGGATGTACAGCTGTGGTAAAAAGTTAATAAATAAATGTAAACAGAGTTTCTTGGTTTTAATTGAACCATACATTGATCTTTCCAGGAACCCTCTCACCTTCTGAGACTTCTTCTTCCCCTCATACACCTGAGCCACCACACAGTAAGATGTTTTCTTTACTCTGAAGATGTTGCTGTGGCTTTAAGTCTTGTAAAATTATGACATCTCGCTAATTTAGCTTTTCCTTTGTTCTCTCAGCTGGGCCTTTTTACTGTTGTTCCCCCACTGACACCCAGACCGGCCCCTCATACCCCTGAGCCACCACACAGTAAGGAACCAGCTACACTGAGGTGGTTCTACCTGCGATGGAAAACAGAGGACGGCGGGCCAAAAGCGACTCAAAGTAGAGATGAGCTGGTGCCAGCGATGGAAAAGCACTATGGGTTTTTAAAACTACTCTAAATGTGTTTCTGTGGCCAAAATGTTTTCATTTATTATAACATCTGTGATAATAATACAATGTGTGAAAATGACTACATGTCACTAATAATGTTGTTGTTTTTCATCCTTGTCCTCACAGCTGGGCCTTCTGCTTTTGTTGCCCCACCGGCACAGAGACCGCATCAGGATATAAGAAGGGTAAGGACAGAGCTCCAGCCTCAGGGACCTTTTTATTATAGCATCTGCCTCCACATCCAGAACTCACTGACACTGTGTCTGCGCTCCCATCCCTTTTTCGGGGGGGTAAACCAGAGAGTGACATTATGGCGAGACTGAGAAATAATTACATTCTCCCATGTATGGGCATGTATCTTCTACGATAAATCTTAATTGTTGTTTTAATGGTGTGTGAGTAGACATTTTCGAGTAGGCTACGTCACTCGCTTTGCAAAAAACACATCAGTCACTGCATCATGCATGCAGTAAACATGTTGCTGCTGAAAGATTCATGACGCTACCAGCCTCGCAGTCTAACGTTAAGTTGTTAGACTGAATTCCTAGACTTGGATCGACCTCACTTGCATGGAGCTAGACGTCGACTTTGACTGTCAACAATTGGTTGCTGTGAAAGACCACAAACTAACCACCGCACAGAATATAAAAGGCTCCGGGAGTCAGCTGTCCACGACAGACCTGAACCAGCCGAGGTACCGGCACAAAAACAAGATCTGGTTTAAACACAACTACACTGATGACAGAATCAAACCCACTAAGACAACAGCTTCAACAGAACTCAGAGCTTAACTGGTGACAGATGAAAAGGTTTACTCATACTTGCACAGGTGCCTTAAGTGCTTTTATATTGTTTTCACTAAATGCTTCAGTTGTAAATAAATAAGACCTGTTTCCATTAATGTCATTAGTAACCAGCAGTTAAACAGTTAAACAGAAACTTATACTGTACATTTACTGCTAAATTGAGGGCTTACTGCTGACACCAAACACTCCTCTACCCCTCTCACACATGACTTTTACACATTTTTGAAAGATGTCAAAAATCTCTCTCTCTTTAATTATCCAAAATATATACATCCCAGAAACTATCTAGATAGTATTTATGTCAGTATTGCACAGCCCTACTCCAGTGTCTACAGGTTGTCTAAAGCCAGATAAAGTCTCCGCCTGTGTGGATAAACCAGTGGTGGTCAATACTACATCTTTGCTTCACGCCTTAGCTGCGTGGATCTGGTTATTTAAAAGTCCTCGGTGGTCGGATAAATTGCCAAAAGCGGTTCACAAACATTCTGCCAGCATACCTAACTTACAACAAGGCCATTTACAAGTCTGTGCTTCATGAGGACCATAAGCTGAGGTGAATAAGTTATTGTTTAATTCAATTTTGAATTTAACACAACATCCTTGATTGTAAATATGATTTTTGCTGTGTAATATTACATAATAAACCGATATAACAAACTGTATTTTGGGCATTGCTTTAAAAAATTCTCTATACAAAAAATTATGTACACCTTTTAAACTGAGCTGATGCTCCTTGAAATAAAAAGTAGTGCAGCAGCTCAGTACTGTTGAAATTAATATTGAATACTTAAACCATTAGTATTCTCCTCTCTGACAAGTAGGCTACTATTTCATATTAATCAGAAGGAAAGGTGCTCATCGAAGTGGAATTTACATCATTTTATTAAAAAATAGCTGTTTATCTTTTATCATGAATTACAGCCTTCGCCCCGACTGGGATTCGAACCTGCGTCCAGATAAACGTTCAGCACCTCGGACCGCGGCCGCAAAATGCTGAAATCAGATTAGCTGTCAGTGAGTTACAACTATCGGCGGCTGGCCACCCGGGAGACCATAAAAAATCCCTATCTTAAGTAAATTAGTAAATCCATCCATCCATCCATCGTCAACCGCTGAACCTGCGTCCAGACACGGTCGCGAGGGGGCTGGAGCCAATCCCATCTGACATCGGGCGAAAGGCGGGGTACACCCTGGACAGGTCGCCAGTCCATCGCAGTAGATGAAAAAGTGGATGTCCTATTTAATTCTAAACACCTAAAAGTGTATACTGACCGAAATGAACAAACATCTCTCAACAACTCCTCTGATGATGGATGGAGACAGCCCACATGTAAAAACTATACACATAATAAATTCTACATTTATTGTATTTATGGCACTACGGTGGGATTTAACTGCAGATGCTTATTGTACAACATTCAACACGTCCATAAAAGTGAATTCAACTAAAAGACTCATCTGCTCTTGGTATATCTGAGCTGCTCTGTGCATAGTTGAAGCTACTCCACTGTATTTATCTGACCACTTTAGGTACTGGTTACTTTGCAGATTCAGATAAATCGTCATCTAATAAATTATGATGTAATGTCAGCGGAAAAGATTTTAGACTTTATTGGTGTGGGGGGAAATAGTTACTTTGGCGGTTGCTAAATTTAGCAAGATTGGATCATCATAATGACCTTTTCCTTAGTCTAAAACACCTTTGATTAACTGTATTTTATTTAAAATCAAAGGATTTTAAAAGAGGTTAAACATTTGATTATCTAAAAAAAACAAAAAAAAAACAGGTGTTGAATCAGGCTGATAACAACTTTTTGTTATTCTTTTCTTCAAAATAAAAACACCATTAGGAATGTTTGTATGACATTAACACTTTTATGTAACAGCTTAAAGTAGACAGGAAATGAAGGTAAACAGATTTGGAAGAGCTTTTTTCACTAACAAGCATGCTGATTCACATTTAGTTTGGATCAATCATAGGGCAGTATGCATCTACAAGTGTGACGTGACGAACCAGTGCAAAAACACACACAGTGAACTTTACAGTGAAACAGACATCTTACATCCAGAAAGTGAAACTTCAAGTCATTGAAACAAGGCACCAGTATTCTTTCTTTCATATGATTAAAAACACAATCTTTCTTTAAAACTAGCGTTGAGGAAAGAAATGCACAAAACACGTTTCACTTAAAGAAAACAAATAGTGGTTTGTTACACTTAATGTAAATAAAACTTAACAACAAAACCAACAAGACAACATGAATAAAACACATAATTCTTCACACAATGAAAAATACAAAGTAACAAAGTAGGGATGCAGCAATTATCGGATTCCACTGTAACCACTCTTTAAAACGTCCGTTAATCAATCAATGAGTGTTTCTGTTGCACAAAACAAAAAAATAAGTTACATGAGTGCAGCAACAGCTTAAAGTGCTATGCTTATCAGAGAGGTGGAGGCTACTACTGTTCACTGGCTAAACTCTGGCAGAGGGAACAAACTGCTTCCACTAAAGAAACGTCTGAACTCGCCAGTGTGGGAGCTTTTCCAAGACTGAATATTTGATGTAGGAGATGTGAAAGTTAGTTAAGTTCCCCTTCATGTGCAGTTTATTGGCAGGTTTCTTCAGACTGGATCATCATACTTGACATTGTAAAAATATAATCTACAGTCTAATATCAGGCAGCTCCAGTAGCAGAATTATCCATCCATCTGAAAAGCATTTCTGACTTTTCACTGTCAGTTAAATCTCTTCTTTGGCCCATTTTACCTGAAGTAATGATTATGTAATAATTATGCACACCTTGATATAGTGTGTTTATCTCCTTAGGACACACTCTCCATATTTACACAAATACTCATCACCTGATATTCATACATCTAATAACCATTCAACTTTATACAGCTTGCAGTTGGAAAGTATACAAAGAAATACTCACTCACCTAACAATTGTGCACGTAGTGTATTCGCTGATTTTAACAAAAGGTGTACTGGATTACAGTCACTTACTCTCCCTTTAAGGGAGCTACAGTGTGCATGTTTTCATTGCTGTCTTCTGTTGGTCCAACACCTACAATTTATTTAGATCTGTGAGACTAATATACATGATTCAGTTTATAGATTCTCACACACCTTGACAGCAGCTCTGCAGGATCTCAATGATAACCGTTTCTCTGCTCACGAGAACCTGCAGAAAAGAAAAATATATTATTACATAAAATCAACAGTTATAACATACAAATCCGCAGAGAATCAGCAGAGAGTCTATTATTGACGGAAGGAAGTCGATCCTAAATAAAACACCCTGTGCAGACTCCCAAACGTAAAAACAACAAACATGGTTAAATCAGACAAAAAAAGAAACCGTTTAAATAAAATAGACACCTGTTCTCATGCTGAATTATTTCCTTATATCCTCCTTATTTTCACAGGAGATGTTTTTTATTGTCCTCTCACGTGAAACTTTTCTCCCTAATTATGTCAAATGTTCACAACTTTCTTCTCTTTTCATTTCGGTTTCTGGTGCTGGACAACGCAACTGCCCCACAACTCACAATTCAATTCAGCTTTATTTGCATGAACGTCAAACAACAATATTGGCAAAGCTTAAAATATAATACAAAAGATTCATTTCATTCAATAAATAACGTAAAAGTGTGTGCGTGTGTGTTAAAAATAAATAATAATAAATAAAATATATTAAAAAATAAAATTTTATGAATTTGTGAGCAGATAATGGCGAGCTAGAGAAGAAGGAGAGCCACATGTTTAATTATGGCTTCTGTGGATCTTTTTCGTTCATAGCGGCTCTGTCCGGCGGGGAACAGCTGCTCTAGAGTGACGTCAAAGTCGCATCAATTCCGACCGAGTGTCCAGACCTTTTAATATACAGTCTATGGTCCAGACTCGCATTTAAAAAGATCCGATCTGTATCAGATTTGGACCACATATCAAAGTGGCCCAAATCCGAACGGGAAAAGATCAGTTTCCATGTGACTGTTCACACAGTCATAAAAAGATCACATTTGGATCACATTTGGGCAAAGAATTAGACTTTTACTTTCAAAAGAGAGAAAATGGAAAAACAATAAGTGAATGATGTTCAAAGATCTAAAGAAAATTTAAAGAAACTTAATTGGACATTTGGGGAAAATGTAGAAACATCCATTTAATGGACAGTTATGTGTTTATAACTATATTGATTTTTAAATCATCAAATAGATTTTTTAAGTATCAGTTATGTTGATGTCTGCAGATGTTGATACAATCCATTTTATAAACTCACCTTTAGTACGACTTATTTTGATGAACTTTTTAGCTACAAGTGAAGCTAAAACAGCAGCAACAATTACAGCTCCTAAAAAAATTCCACCAAACAATCCTGCGACAACTCCTCTGCTGCACGTGTCCTCAAACAGTTTCTCTGAAACACACAACAAAACCTAGAGTCACACTCAGAATGTAAACTGTATCTCATGTGCAGCACACTGGTTATTACCTACACAGAACTACTTGATAACAATGAATTTCACCCGACACAGTGATGTTAGCGTTGACCTCAGAGCTGATGTCCTCCTGCTCGACTCGACAGTGGAAGGATTTTTTTACTATTTTCTGACAATTCAAATATTAAACACAGAGTTTCAAAAGTTGTTCATCTCAAAGTTTGTACATTTTGTTTGTGAGAAATATCTTGTGTCACTGATTTCTTATAACCACAGAAAAGTATCTTTTGTACTTACAACAAAAGCATCTTTCAGTTATCAGTGTAACTGCAGGGAGTGAGATTACAGACCAGGCTGCTGGCTGATTTATGTGTTGTTATTGTGTTATAATGGATCAACACATATTTATATCTTTATTTTTGCAATTGGCACTAATGTCATACCAACCAGCCATAACATTATGACCCCCTGCTGGTCAAAATGTATGCCTCCCCTTTGCCGCCAACACAGCCCTGACCCGTGGAGGCACACGGACTCTTTTTGACCTCCAGCAGCTCATCTGTTGGATCGGACCACAGGAGCCAGCCTTCGCTCCCTACGTGCATCAGTGAGCCTTGGCCATCCAGGACCCTGTTTCCAGTTCACAGCTTTTCCTTCCCTGCACCCCTTCTGATAGGTACTGACCTCTGCAGACCGTTTCAGAGATGCTCTGACCCAGAAGTTTAGCTGCCTGATATATCCCACCCACTGACTGTTGCCATGGTAACAAGTTAATCAGTGTTATTCACTTCACCTGTCAGTGGTCATAATGTTTTGGCTGATCGGTGTAAGTTTGCA